CCCGAAAAAAAAACGAGAAAAAAAACCCGCTACTGTTGCCATAAACGATAAACTAACTTATCCCCACGAGCTAAGTAGCTCATTAAAATGATCGCAACAAGAACGTGACCGCGTCACGGCCAATGCTCACACCTCCATCACAAACGTGATCATTGCGCGCCAAGATGAGCTAATGAAACAACAAACGGGGTGGTCGTCAGTCCCGAGGACGTGCACTGTTAGCAGCGGTGCGTGCCAACACGAGACGACCGCCGCCAAAGAGGAACGGGAATAGGAACGCCGGAGAACGCACACAACTTGGGTTGTAAGCGTTGAAAAACGCACAGATTATGTTAATAGAAAGCCGATGGGATCAGATTCGGTTGGATCGAAAGGGGTCTTGGATTTTAAGCTTCAGCTGGACAGAGCTTGGCAATGAAGTCTTTGAAAACTGCAATAATTAATTCGACACCATAAATAGCGTAGGATGAAAATTAAAACAGACACGGTTACGCGTAATTGACAATAGTCGGTTAACAAGTTTTGGAGATAAACAAAAAAAAAAAGAACCTTTTCCATGTCGCACTTTAACTCAATTTTGCTTAAAATGGAAAAGCCTGACTGCATCATACAATGTGTTATACTTATACTTGTTACAATTGAAATATCTACCATTCAAATAGATTTATAATAAAATTGCATTAAAAAAAGTTTTAATCACCGAGTCTAAACAATGTAAAGGCATAACACGTTCAAACAAAAGCTACGTATGAAAATGACATGATATTTTAAAAATGTATTTATGTATTAAAAAATATTGAAATGCAAATAAAAATCCAGGGTTCCGCAACCTTTCTGAGACAGGAGCCATTTTTATAATTGTATCTGTTAAAAACTCTGAATCTCCAAAACCACATAATATATATTAATTACACTGAATAAAAACACATACACACAGGCACATACACAACACCCTCCACACACACATATATATATATATATTTAACCGATTCTGAATGTGATGAAAAAATATTTATCTCTAAGCTTAATAAATCTTTTAATTTAAAATTATATTGATGCGTAAATATAGCAGTTTGAAAATGTAATCAACTATCACAACAGTTTTTCAACGAAAACATAAAATATAGAAGATTTTAGAAAATTGTGTAAAGACATTTCGGTCAAGTGGGTCGAACTCCACAGATCTCGCAGCAATATTTCCGATTTTGTTATTTACTTATAGCTGAGAAGACTAAACGAATTGGAGTTCTTTGACTTCGTTTTAATCACCACGAACTGTCTACGTGCTTTAGTCGCTCTAAGATGTTTGAAATTTTAGGCGTTTCTGAGTAAAACTGAACGAGGAAATAAATCACCAGGTAAAGACGCATAGAGAAGTGAAGGAGATGACTGCAGACGGTGAACAATCTCTTCAGAGGAGTGTGTAGTCTTCTAGGTGATGAGAGACAAACAGCAGGCTTCAGGGCACGTGTTTATCAGGGGGGGGGGTGAAGAGGGGGGGGGGAGGGGATAAAAAATTAAAGGTTGGTGAAAAAGACACATCGAATAGCGAGCCGGGGGTGGGGAAAGTGGGGGGGGGGGGAAGGGGGATGGCGGTTTAAAATGTTAACATATGGTCTAAGGGAGAGTTCGAGGCATAAATATAGCGTTTGTGATTGCAATGAAAAATAAGAAGCAATCCAAAGGTGACTTGTACGTGAGTGTGTGTGTGTGTGTGTGTGAGTGAGAGAGCGTGCACAAATGATGGCAGGAGCGGGGAGGACAACTGTTTACGGGTAAACCACTTCCGGCCTTATGTAATGGCATTCTTTGTGGGTTGTTTACAAATAAAGTACGACAGTCAACACAGCGCTAGTCAAAATTATCATCTCAATCAACTGGCGGCATTTTGCGATGGTGAAAAAATAAGCGTAACTCGAAAATCTCCTAAAATACTTGAAAAACTTTTTGTACAAAGCACCGATGTATTCGATTTCTTAATTAACACTGCCACACACACACTTGTAATGTGCCAGTTTACAGACAAGGTCATTGCGGGTTACGACGCAAATACACGGGTTCTCAATTCATTTCAAATTCGCATAAAAAAGACAGCGCATGATCCTCATTTGTTAGGTTAACAAACCGCGAGTCATGATCAATACTAATAAAAGAACGAATAACTAAATTGAGGACTTTTCGCTATTTGTTGCAATCTAAGACTGTCAACCTTTTAGTTTTCTAATATTAATTTTTTCAATCAGTATTTGATGACAAGCTTTCACATTTTAGGGAAACGGGTATTTTCAACGCACACATCATTCAGTTTCACACACTGGTCCATACTTTATCTATAAGGAGAGCCCGCACAAGCCAAGCAGTTTCTGTCTCTTGCACTGTGGTCGGAATTGCTCCTCGGCTGGTCGTGGACAGTGTGACTTCCGTGTTCCCACGCTTCTTATTTCAATCTTCGTCGACATGGTCACCAACACGTACGACGGCGAGTCCATTTAAAGACATGCGTCCACAAGCCATGTAGAGTGGAGTAGTAAAATACGACTAGCAAGTCATGAGTTCTCCGGAAAAAAAAAGACGACCCAAATGCGTTAGGAGATTTCAATCCATGTTTTTTAAAATTGAAGCTAAACAAAATAATAATCTTTTTTTTTAAAATGACAGTGGGCTAAACAAAAAATTTAATAGGTATAAACATATTATTAGAAATGAACATCTCAGATCTTGATTTCGCAGACGGTTGCCTTTATTCTTTAGTTTCGATCACGTTACCAAACATCCAAGGATTGCAATCTTCACACAACGGTTGAACTTCCAAAGTACTGACCGCAGCACTTCTGATTACACGTTGGTTTCGAGTAGCAGTATCAATGCTGATTCATGGAAATCCTTAACGATCAAAGTCGTCAGCACCGATTCTAAACTTGTCGATAAGTGTTTAAAAATAGACGCGATGGAAGCGCTCTAGCATGGAATGGGGTTTATCAATACGACCTATATGGCAGCAACGTCTCGAATACCAACAGCTCCTCGGAGGTCGTTTAAACTTCCTGATGATATTTAAATGCCTACATATTATATGAACATGAAAGAAGTTATAAATAAATAGTGAATACCTAACATGCACAACAGATTCCAATAAGTTGAGAGCCGCTGTTAGCTGGCAGCTATCGGTAAAAAACAGTAACCCTGAATCGATTATAACCACGATAAAAAGACTCGCCTTTTGAGTAAATTGGACCATATCACGAGATCGTGTTAATTCGAGCAATCATGTAAATAGAAACCAATAGACAAGCAGACAGAACTTTCCGGTTAAAATTGGAAACACTTGTCACAAGTTACAACACACCGAGATACGCCATGAGCTCAGCATAAACGTTTCCTGGAATTCCAACTATTTCTATTTTCCGATTTGACAGGACCACAGTCTTCTTGTAAGGCATAACAACAACAGATATCAGCGCCTACCAGTCCACGGTCTCAGATTAGACGGACGGATCGTAACTTATGACGTGTACAAACAACTTGTTTTATGTGTGCTCTTCGCAAGGTTGATTAAACTGAATACTTTAAACGTGACCATGAACAAATTCAAGGAAAGGTATTTTGTACAACAATTATCACCTTGTTGTCATATTTTATTTTTTATTAAAATGTGACTCACTTTGATTACGCTTTGATTACGCTTTGATTACGCTTATTGCCAGTTATGTATGGATTTTATATTTCAGTACAGAACGATACAGTGTTTTTGTTATACTACTATATAGTGATGGTGACATGGTGTTGTGAGAACGAGTCATTTATTTCTCTTAAGTATTTACATTTTGTCATAGGTTACTCTACTGAGAAGTTTGTTTTTTTTTGTTTTTGTTTTTTTGTGTGTGTGATATGTATACCATCTAATAACAAGAGCAAAGCCCTTCGACATGTCATACAAAGTCTTTAAATAATTGTAGACACACTTTAAATACGGATGTGCTCAATAACGAGGGCAGTGTTTCAAAGACACAAAACATTTTTGATCTCTCATAGGGTTAAGGAATAGATTCACAAATGAAACAGAGATTTAATTTTGTTTATATTGTAAACCAAGTCTGAAAGTTTTAAAGATCCTAGACATAACGAACAGGGATAGCGGGGGGGGGGAATCAATGATGTCTATGTAAGGTATTCATATTAACGGGGTTTTCCGATAATGTGTTGGTGGTTGGTTGGGCTATTTATAGATCTGACTTTAAAACATCACGAAACCAAGACCTACATAGCGAACTCATAATTATGCATAATACTATTAATACTGTATTAATCAGTATTTCAAAAGTTATCCGAAAGTTATCAACCACTTCTGTATGTCTCCAACGATCAAAATATTCTTAAAACTTCTTTAAAAAGTAATGCTTAGAGGAAACAATGATTAAAACAACGCTTATACATATTTCAGGGAGTAAGTCAGAAGAATAAGAACAAATAACATTGGCACGTCACAACGCAATGTTGCACAAGTGATCCAGAGTGACTAATGTTACAATGAGCTCAGCTTCCAGAGACTCCGTGAACAGCAGTCCTAGAAGGTAAAAATTGTAGCTTTTACATAAGCTCCTACATCCCCTCTCACTTGATCACACAGACAAACATTCAATAAACTACAGATTATAAGTCCAGTGGTCGGAAAACTCATTAGTCCTACATTCCCTCTCACTTGATCACACAGACAAACATTCAATAAACTAGAGATTGTAAGTCCAGTAGTCGGAAAACTCATGAGTCAAAAGAGCCAAAAAATCAGCAGCAGGACGATTAAAAAAATCTTGAGAGCCAAATTTGTGTTCAAGAACCTATCAAGAACCATGATTTTTGGCCGACTGGCCGAGCCGCACTCAGGTCGCTAAAGAGCCACATGCGGCTCGCGAGCTGCCGACCACTGTTATAGTTTGATGTGCAGATACGTTTCTATGACACCTCCACATTGAGAGCCAATGGAAACCGTGATTAATGTCATTCATTGGCAAGCAACATTGTAGCGATAGTTCCATACATAAATTAAATATTACACGATCAATGTATACCAGTGATACAAAGAATGAGTTGTTTCCGTAACACAATCAGATTACACTAAGAGACGAGATCAGTTTAAAACTAAAAGACCACTTTCTTTCAGGACAGCTTTAGATTATATTTTGAAACTCAAATGTAAAGTGAATGGTGGGGGAAAAAGGGGGGGGGGGGGAACAAAACAAGAACAACAACAAAACAACATAAAATTGTTTATAAGCAATGTCTTATTCCAAATTTATTTGCCGATTGCAGAGCTGCTAAGGTGCCCTTGTAAAGTGAATGGTGGGGGAAAAAGGGGGGGGGGGGAACAAAACAAGAACAACAACAAAACAACATAAAATTGTTTATAAGCAATGTCTTATTCCAAATTTATTTGCCGATTGCAGAGCTGCTAAGGTGCCCTTGTCCAAGCAGAACGACACGAAAAGCAATGACCAGGTCAATGGTTCAAGGCGTGATAACCAGGCTACAGGAGCGGCTAGCAGGATCAACTTGCCCGAATCGGACACAGCTCAAAGACAAGTTGCCAACATACAAGGCAGAGAACTACTTGAGACAAAGCGTAGCCATTTACCCAAACAATCAAGATCGGAGCACCCCCCTCAAAGATCACCAGAGGGTAACTTAACGTCCTCGGTGAATAATGGAAGAGGCTCGGGGGCAATACCTAAAACGCCGAGGCAGCAAGATCAAGGGCCTGGAAGCGGCAACGAAAGGCTTAGCTCTCAAAACAGACTCGCCAGACCACAGTCAGAAAACTACGACAACACCAAACCACGCATTGGTCGCGCGCAGTTGGACGTTCCTAAAAAACAATATCAATTTTATTCCGTCGAAGAAAAGAGAGTTAAGAGTACAATTACTTCAGAGAAACTAGCTCAGTGGGCTTGTCAACCCAAAGAAATCTTAATTGTGCAAATGAAACTAGATACACCGGCCATAAACACATTCCTGAATGAGGACGATATAGCGTGTGAAGATCTGAGAAATTTTATAACAGCATTGCATCGACTGACAATTGGAAAGACCCGAATACTTCTATCTGACTCAATCATTTTTCAGTGCTTTACATCGTCGCCTTTCCTTAACGTGCATCTGCGGAAGTTTCTAGAAGAAACGCAAATGTTTCAAGAAATTACCGACATTTTACATTACATTAAATCAAAATTTCCAAAGTTTTGGAACTCAAAGTGCATAGGATGTTTAAATGTTTTTGTCAAAACGGGCGCCTCTCTAAACATATTTGAAGAGGACGATAAATTAATGAGGGAAATTAAAGAACTCCAAAAGAAAGTGACTTCAAGCCTCAACAACTTCTCAAGTAGTAACCAAACAGTAACAGCAAAGTCAAACATTAACTACACGCTGTCAGATACTGCCAGTCAGGATAAGCGACCAACTACAGAACGTAGTCGGCCAAGATTAGACGATGACGAACCAGATGACGACTTCACCGCTCTGCCCTTGTTTCCTGACACGGAAGATTTGTTCTCGGAGGTGGAGCCTTTTTTGAGGGCGAACAAAACACGAGGGCCGTACAGGGACGTTCAGCATTATCTGGACGTGCACGCAAGGCTGATAAGGGAAGACTACCTTGAGCCAATCAGGAACGGGCTGAAACATTTTAAGGAAACACGAAGGCACCTGCTGAGTCAAGATTGGGGACGAATCATGGACGAAGATGAAAATCTTATCAAAGAACTTCAGAAGAAGACAAAGGACAATGATTTGAGATTCTATTTTAATGTTAAACTCTTGGACATGTTTAATGATGTTAATGACGGCATCGCGCTCATTGTTAATTTCGACAACACACAATTACAAGACGTAGACTGGAAGAATTCAAAGAGATTCATGTACGGGGCACTCTTGGTGTTTTCAAAAGACTTTTTCGAGACGACCATCTTTGCCACTGTGGCGGAGAGAAAAGATGACCTTCTGGAACAGGGGCAGGTGCAGGTCATTTTTCAGAACAACCTCGAGGAAGTCTTCACGGCGTCCGAGAGCGATCGGTTCATCATCGCGGAGACGACGGCTTACTTTGAGTCCCACAGACACGTTTTGGAAGGTCTTCAAGAAATGAAGCGGTTACCACTTGAACAATACATTATCAAATGCGAGCGTCAAATACGTCCACCTGAGTATGTTACCGGAGACACGTTTTATAATTTATCAGCCATTATCCGTGGGAAACATACGCAACGCATACCCATTTTGGACACTGAAGAATGGCCTGAAGCTAGTGAAACAGATCTAAATGATTCCCAGCTTGAAGCTCTTAAGTTGGCCCTAACCAACGAAATTTCACTTATACAGGGTCCACCCGGGACAGGAAAAACATACGTTGGGCTCAAGGTAGTTGAAATCTTGTTACAAAACAGTGTACGAAGAACGCTTCCAGGTCGGCATCGACCAATACTGGTGGTGTGCTACACCAACCATGCCCTTGATCAGTTCCTTGAAGGCATTCTAGAATTTAGCCCCGAAGGCGTCATAAGAGTTGGAAGACAAAGCACAAGTGAAAAGCTCGAAAAGCTAAACCTAAACAACATGCGTTTGGATCGGCAATCCTATGCCAAAATTCAGCAAAAAGCTAATATTGACTGGAAAGGTTGCGAAGATAGTCTCGAACTGATCATTGATCTTGTCAAACGTTGCTGGCAGGATATGAAGAGACTGGAATCAACCATCCTAAAGGTAAACGATCTGGCGGAAGAGATGTCAGAAGAACAGATTCGGTCACTGACTGATCCAACCAGAAGAACCGGCATGAGCTCAGACATGATGAGTGCCTGGCTGAAGGCCTCGAACGCCAAACTTGATCTCCATCTCAATGCACTGACTCGCCGACATCTGATTACATGTATAGCCAATGGTAGATACGTCCAAGAAAGCATCAATCTGACAAATGTACCATCAGTTATGAGGCTAGATTTTAAATCCAGAGTCAATATTTACCGTACGTGGGCCTCGCAATATCAACAACAGAAACTACGCATAAACTACGGCATAGAATCTAGCCAGCTTTCACAAGAATGCAGTCGCGAAATTATTCAAGACTCGGAAATCAGACATATCATTGGCGAGAACATTTATCAGTCGATTCAGGAATGTGTTAAAAAAGAATGTAAAAAAGACGATTTCGACAACGACATCATAAAGCACTGGCTTATCGGTAAGTTTAAAACGACCGATCAATTCTTGGACGCGATTGATCTTCTCTACTCGACAATGCCATATTCCAAAAAGCCTCAGGCAGTTGGGGCTAAACCAGAAGTAATTGAACTGTTGGACAACAGCGACAGGGTTGGAGAAAGTTCAAGCGAGAGTGAAGACGAAGATGACGACGAAGAGGACTCAGCGGCAGATGAGAGGACCCAAATACGTTTATCCGAAATCAGAGAGCATGTTGACAAAATTAAGCAGGCCGAAAGCAAGGAGATGAGCATGCTGAAACGAGCGGAAATGCTGGGAGTCGACGTTTCTGGAAATATGGAGGAAGGCGATGATGAAGAAGATGATGCTAAAAGTGAGGCCTGGCAAACCGTCAGCAAAAGCATGTCTTACAAAAAAGTATTTGACCTCCTCCGGAAAACAGTCCCATACAAGGAGGAAGAAGCGTCTGAGATAACTGATGTGTGGGAGCTTCGTCTGGAAGATCGTTATCGGCTTTACAAGTACTGGGTGCATAAGAAAATGGGAGTTTCTGCTAGCATGATTCATACGCTTACAGAGGAATACAATAAACTTCTAAAGAAAAAGAAACGAATCAGATTTTTAAAGACAGTTGAGATTTTAAAACGGGCCCAAGTCGTGGGAATGACGACCACCGCTGCTGCCAGGTGGAGGGAGGTTCTGAAAGCAGTGGCGTGTCCGATTGTTGTGGTGGAGGAGGCAGCAGAGGTACTGGAAGCGCATGTCGTTACGACCCTCAACCGCAAATGCCAACATCTTATACTCATAGGTGACCACCAACAGCTGAGGCCCAATCCGACAGTACACCGACTGGCCAAGGAGTTTCAGCTGGAGATATCGTTGTTTGAACGCTTGGTCAACAACAAGGTCAAGCACGTCTTGTTGAATCAGCAGCACAGAATGAGGCCTGAAATATCCACGTATATAAAGCACATTTATCCACAGTTACAAGACCACGTGTCAGTCTCAGGGTACGGTGACATCAGAGGCGTTGCTTCCAACGTATTTTTCCTGCAGCACAACGAGCATGAAAACTCTATCGATGACACCAGGAGCAAGGCCAACATTCATGAGGCGAAATTCATCACAGCGTTGTGCAAATACTTTCTACAGCAGGGCTACAATGGACATGACATCACTGTCCTCGCTGCTTACAGCGGCCAGGTTGCGCTTATCAAGAAAGTAATGGGGAAGAAGGAGAAAACCAAGGAAGAGAACAGAGAAGTCACTGTCAAACCTGGGAATGAATACGAAGACGTAGATTACGCAACTGAAGGCGATAAAGAGGAGTCCGAAACAGAGCCGCCAGGCCCTTATGATGACGTCAGAGTGACCACCGTGGATAATTTCCAGGGAGAGGAAAATGAAATTGTCTTACTTTCTCTGGTCAGAAGCAATGCTGAAGGTGCAGTCGGGTTTCTAAGCATCAACAACAGAGTGTGTGTAGCAATGTCCAGGGCGAAATGTGGACTTTTTGTCATCGGGAATATGGATCAACTGGCACTGAAGAGCAAGTTGTGGGAGAAGATTTTGAAAAGCGCTAAACTTAAAAAAGGCGTTGTGGGCGATTTCATGAGATTACGATGTGGAAATCACACCGATCATGAATCCCGCGTGGTCGACGCAGAAGATTTTGACAAGTGTGTCCCTGATGGGGGCTGCCACAGACCGTGTACAAAGCGTCTGAAATGCGGCCATCAATGCCCAAAAAGGTGCCACGTTACAGATGAAGAACACGAGGATGTTATTTGCAAAGAGATGTGCATGAAATCATGTCCACAGGGTCATCCTTGCGAAAAGCCTTGCGCCGAATATTGTGGAAATTGTGAGGTTTTGGTAAACAAAAGAATTCCTTATTGCGATCACTGGGATAAAGTTCAATGTTACGTGGACGTCGATTCTGCTGTATGTAAACAGACATGTGGACAACTGATGGTATGTGGACATAAATGTCGAGGAGGATGTGGACATTGCCATTTCGAAGGGGAACATGCACCATGCCAAGAAATGGTTGAAAAAACGTGGAGCTCCTGTGGCCACACGAGCAGTGGGCAGTGCTACATCGACACACGGGTAGCACCATGCCCAATAAAATGCAGTACGGCCCTAAAGTGTGGGCACAAGTGTCAAGGCACGTGTGGGGAATGCCTCTCTGGGCGCGTTCACGTCCCCTGTGCCAAAAAATGTGAAAAGCCCCTTCCGTGCGGTCATCCGTGTCCGGGCCCGTGTCAGATGATGTGCGTTCCTTGTACTCAGAACTGCCCTTGGTTTTGCAGACATCAGCTGGTCATAACGCCATGCAATAAGAAATGTGGAGAACTTTGCGATATATGTCCTGAAAACTGCGGACTGACATGCAAGCATAAGAAATGCAAAAAGAGATGCATCGATGAATGCAGTGAACCAGAATGCGATAGAAAATGCATAGGGCCAGTACCCAAGTGCGGTCATCAATGCGCCTCGCTTTGCGGGGAACTTTGTGTGTGTTATAGTTGCGAGAGGCCAAAATTTTCACTCATCGATTTCAACAAGAAAAGAAGGCCGACTCACCTTGCAGCGCACGAGCAACGCGAGCGTGATAAAAAGTTTGAGTTGACCCAAGATGACATCTTAATGAAGATTCCACGGTGTCACCATCTATTTACCCTTAAGCAGCTGGACCGATACGTTGATGGTCAAATATCGAGTGGGACAAGTTTCCTCCCTTGCCCCGAATGTTCACTTTCGATTCACGGCATCGCCAGGTATGAAAATAAAATGAAACAAAGAAACGAGAGAAGAGAGCGCGTGAAAGAAGCCATCATCGAGTCGACTCGGGTCCCTGTTGATAAAATATCCACGCTCACAAAATCTCTTGCCATTGTTGGTAAGTTTCGCATCAGTGACAGGGGCGTCAATCTATTGAAAACTCCCGAAAATATGGACGCCAACGTCGCTAAATCCATCACCATGCAGATCAGGTTCGCGCGCGCGATCTCGGAGGTATGCGGCCTCCACCAAAAACACAACAACAAGCAGTCCTTTCTGGAGATGAAGTGGAAGAGGCACATGGAGTCATGTTCCTTAGCGGTCACGCCGCAATTCCTAGAAGAGATGCCACTGGAACTTCACCGACTGTTGCTCATAGAGCAGGCGTGCGCAGTGAAAAATATCGTGACCGCAAACGAGGGAGCGGAATTGAGAGACGACCAATCACTGAAGCCCATTGGGGAATATCGGGAAAAGAAGCTGGAAAGCCGAGCCAGGCTCAGGGAACTCCAATCAGTACTAGACTCCATCTACCAAACCTTCGACCAGCTTCAGCTGGACAGTGAGACGTCACGCCAGATTACGGATTTGCGAAAACAAGTGGCTATGGTTGGAGCCATCCTCGATGAGCCCGAAGACAAGGTAAGAATAGTTCTTTGAGTTACAGTATAACGATGTCTTGTAACGCTTTGGTTGCAGAACGTTTTATTATTTTGGAACGTTTCCTTGTTAATGAGAGTAGTGTCCTATAATAGTGAAAGAGCCAGTAGGTAAATCTAATGACGTGGATCTTAATTAGGTTCCTATCTTTTAGTTTAGAAAATATCTTCCCTTAAAAGGCATGAACGCAAAATAAAAAAAAATTAATAAATTAAAAAAGAAAAACTATTTTATTTGTTTTCTTCAAATAGGATCTATGCGAAATAATACCAGCAGATGATACAGAAGATGAGACAGAAGATGAGACAGAAGATGGAACATGGACTGATACAGAAGATGGGACAGAAGATGGAACAGGAGCTGAGACAGAAGATGAGACAGAGATGAGTCAGAAAAGATGAGACAGATGATAAGACACTTCATGGGCCCATACAGTCGACTAGACGACAGCATAATTCTGGGCCATACACAAGAGCTGACCCCACAATCCATGACAGTCTGATGAACACTGTGTCGTGCAGCGATGTTTGACATGCTCATTCATCCATCAGATTTGACCCGCTCATTCATCAATCACATTATTGTACTTCACAACCATGACAGTTAACATAAGTTATCAAGGGGGAAATTTTTAATGTTTTTTAAAATAATTTTCTAAAATTTCTAGGTCGTTGCTGGTCTAATAAGATAGATTAGACCTCCTGAAAAGAAAACTCCAGTATTTGTGATAATATTTGTACATATTTGTTGTTAATATTAACGCACGGATTTCATGTTTAGTTTTAGAAGTTTTCAGTGATGTTCCGTCGCCAGGTTTATAATGCAAATTATAACACATTGCCATTTAAATGTTAATTACTTCGATAGACATATATAATTCGTATAATATATATATATATACTATATAACACTTAGCACAAGTATATGGATTAATGTTCAAGATCGTTGCTCTTTTATTGTACTGATGTGCGCGAATCACGTATATTACACTCATATTACATGTTAGGGTCGCGTCTAACTTTGACAATAATTACACAATGATATCACTATGTGGATAAATGATTACATTACTTGAATATAAAAATAATTACCACATGTTACATTATGTTCTTCAGTTTAGTAATATGTTTAAAAAAAAATTACAATAAAACGGTCGGCGTGTGGTCTCATCCGACGCACATATATCTTTCACGTATTTTCTCGACAAGCGTTATGTAGACTGTGGTTGTAAGTTTTCTTAAATACTATATCGTTTATATACATATATTTTAAAATTATTATTACAAAACATTACGTTTTAATAACTTAATACTCTTTACTTTTATCTGAAAATTGTATGCTCAATTCTTGATTTGTAAAATTTCTACTAGTAGATTAGAGCAGTGCAGTCGTGTCATTGTAATGGTGTTACTGACAGAGAAATTCAACGTTTCTAAAAAACTTATTACGACTTATGGAGTTGTGACTGGAATGCCATTACACGGGCACTTAATGTCTTTAAGAAATTATTCTTGCTTTTGTGTTGCCATTTTGTAGGTCGACCAGCTATGTTATGAAAATGTAAAAAGAAACAATTGTCAACACGATATCGTCTAGCCCCATTTTTAAATTTAATTAAAAATTATTCTTTCAATTTTTATAAAAGAAATTATCATTATTATTATTATTTGACAATGAATGTTGTCTTGAGTGCTTGTTATTTATATAAACTTAAGAATGAGCTAGAAAAAATGTCTGAGTTTTGATGGTACAAAATAAACAACGTTTGACATGTAAGATGGAATAATCCAAGAATGTGATGATGACTTAAACAATAACAAAAATATATATAAACAGACCTGTTTACTCTCAAACTCTTAAAATCGTACAATATCATCACATAATTGTTCAGTACCTTATATTTATAGTAAAAAATAAACATACAGTACATATAATGTTTTCACCTCAAAATCGTAAGTTGTACGCCAAAATCATAAGAGTAAACATGTCTGTACAAACCATTGATTCTTTATATATATATATATATATATATATATAT